GAGACTGTCAACACTGTAAAAAATAAAAAAAAATCTGCCTGCTCCTTTCCATCACTGCCTTTTACTGCTCACTTGTTCAGCTTCAAATACCAATGCGAATTAGGACAATTATAAAGCTTCAAGTTTAGTCATCCATCAGATTAAACAATTGACAGAGAAAATATCAATAACCTGTCACCATCAACTATGAACTGTGAGATGAAAGATTGTTTCTCTGTTAAGAACAATGGTAGGAGCTTCACAGAAAAGGGGTCAGGGTCTTTTATGAAACTTATATATATATAATCTTATTTATTCAAGGTCTCCATTTTAAGCACTGATAAAAACAGTAATTAAGTACACACTTGGGTAAGAAACTAAACTTTGCTGTAGACAATAGAAAATGTGTGGGCACTTACCACCTTCTCCTTACTCAAATGTGATGGAAAGTCCTTGGAAATGATTGCAGCATATTGCAAAAGAACTTTGTTGATAGTCTGTAGGGAATGAGAAAAGAAGGAGGGGGAGGTGGCGTTATGGCTACATTTCGTTTGCTCTTCTATTATTTACACGTTCTGTTATGAAATGTTAATATCAAAYGCAATAAAGTAAGCAGTGAGCCTGTTTAGATCAATGACAGACTCTTTAGATGGGAGTTATTACAGGCAGCAGGAGYAATCAGGGTTCACTGGAAGGCTGCTACAAAAAGACTGACCTTCGCGAAGCGGCACATGAAGTGAGCCAGAGCCTGTGGGTTTGGGCACTCCAGCTTTTTGATAATCTCAAAACTCTGGTTTAGCTGAGTGAAMACATCCACCACCGAGCAGGAAAAGAGGGCGTGCTCCGAGGTTTGCTGAAACTGAAACAGAGAAGACATGCGAACAAGTTTACATGCAGAGGTTTTAAAGCAAAATGGTAAAAAATGGTAAATCTCATATTTGGACTTTTTTGCTTCAGTTTGTGCTAGAAAACAGTGTACATTTCTTTAGGGTATTGACAAGAACATTTGATGATGGTATTAAATGTTCAATGTACAATTTGTAACATGTTTATCAGGGCCAGCCCATGACATAGGCAGTGTATGGGTTGCACCATCAATGCATAAATAAGAACAACAATATTCAGTCCTCTGCATTGTGTTTAGATTACCGATACCTCTAGTTCATTTAACCTTAGCTCAGATTTATGCATTGGAATCTAGGTTCAGGTTTGACCCTTTGAAACACACATACAATAATTAAAACACAGTACTCATAGTTTATGTGGTTTTATTACAAATAGGGATATTTATAAASTATTTACAAACCAAAGGATGAGTTATGAGTATGATGGTTCCAGTAATTTATGGGGATAAGAGTAAGTGATGAAACATTGTAAGGTCTGAAATATATATACAGTTAGATATTATTAGATTAGATTACTGTGGATGAAGAGGAGTGAAAAAATTAGGCTGACTAACAAAGTAAATCAGGTTTAAAGCTTTACTCAAATGATAAAGCAAAAGTAAAAGTACTGTTGAATACCAGGTTTATCTGTTAATAACCCAGAACAAATGTTAAATAATTTTGACACCAAATCATAATGAGCAAGCAAGGATCTGGAGATCCSACCATCAGGAGGTTCTTCCCACTAACATGTGCAGTCACTGACCCAGGCAGGAGGAGCTGGAGAGTGGGCGTTACATGTTCTCAGGCTGGACTCCCGTGGATACATGAAAGAATTTGACTCRGCTCCAGGAGGACCTCGCCGCTTGCAGGAACAGTGGTCGGATCTTGGTACCTCAGGGCTCACGTTGTTCTGGCCTCAACTTCCCAGGAGTTCAAATCATCCAGTTTGTTGGAGGTGATTTCCCAACCCATTCTCACTCCCAAGTCGTCACATATTGACGCTTTGGCAAGGTTCCCTCTACGTCCGATTTTGACGCGCCGGGTACCCCCGTCACGTCAGTTAGTGACGAGATGGGGCGAAAGCTGTTGTCATATTTTCAGAAAGAGTAGAAAATGCGCAAAAACTACCGTTTGGAAGCCTGAAATTACCTTAGTTCACTTTAGACATCCTGTCCCTGACCCTAGTACCTAAAATTAACCATTTTTAGAAAATGTAGGAATTTCACGTAAACATGTTCCAAAGCCTGGAATTACCTAATATTCACCATGGACATCCTACCCCTGATCCCAGTACCTAAACTTAACCATTAATCCTGATCCCTCATGTTAACCTCAGACCCTCGACCCAAAGACCCCTGGTGGCGAAACCTGGAAAAGCCGCGGGCGTCAAGGAGTGACGCGAGGGGGGTACCTGATGCGTCAAAATAATACGCAGAGGGAACCTTAACTTAAGCGTCAATATGTGACGACTTGGGAGTGAGAATGTGTAGGATTTCCTCAGATGGAGAACATGCAGCGTGTTCTCACTGATCAAGTTGAAGACAGGTTCAGCTGTCTCTGGTTGCACCGTCTTATAGCAAAAGACTTTCAAAATGAACACAGTTCATCTGCAGTAATTCTCTGATGAAGTAAAAATAAAAATGATTCAAATATCAGTTTGATAAAATGAAGTTCAGTCACTTTAAAAGGTAAATCCTGTAAAGTTTGGCTGAAGAACCTGCAGATGCAAMCTGAATATGGAGTGTCCATCCGGAGAGTCTCTTTCTGTTTGCTTTGATTTTTCTATTTGTAA